TACAGAATTGAGTTCAACCCAACGGGATTATGCTCAGACTGCTCAGGCATGTGGAAAGGCACTGATAACATTAATAAATGAGGTGCTGGACAGAGCTAAAATTGAAGCTGGCAAGTTAGAGCTGGAGGCTGTTCCATTTGATCTTCGTTCCATACTTGATGATGTTCTTTCCCTTTTCTCTGAGAAATCTAGACACAAAGGTTTAGAGGTATGCTTAATTGTTGATTATCCTACTACAAATAAGTCAAGATTGTTTTTCTCTTTCTAAGTTATAGAATTTCACCATTCTTTTGTTTTTTTTTTACTGATGAACTTCTTTTTGGGGGTGTTATGCCATTGGATGTTCATGTTCTTGATGCTCATGCTGATCCTCAACCTGTACTTTGATTGTGGAAGTAAAGCTGGCTGTGTTTGTTTCTGATAAAGTACCGGATATTGTCATGGGAGATCCTGGGAGATTCAGACAAATAATAACAAATCTTGTTGGCAATTCTGTAAAAGTAGGTGGAATTTCGAAGTTTATCTGTCTGATGTTATTTGCATTCGGAAACGTCATTTAGTTTTCTTACTTTTAGATTTAGCTTTTTCTTTTCTTCTTAGCTGGCTAGTAAGGAAGAGAGCAATGATTTTAGTTCTCAAATCCTTCATATTCATTTGCTCCATTGCATTCATTGATTTCAATCACAAGGTACTTGTTAATACTAAACAAATTTGCACGTCTTGCAGTTCACTGAACACGGACATATATTTGTCAAAGTCCATCTAGGGGACAATAGAAAGTGCATAATGAATGGAAAACATGAGACTTTTCTGAATGGAGAATCAGATGAAGTTTTCCTTATATCTGATGATTATCATTTCAAAACCTTAAGTGGACGTGAAGCAGCTGACGAACGGAACAGCTGGGATAATTTTAAGCTCCTAATTGGTGATGAAAAATGTTGCCTTGATTCTTCAAGAGAAATGGTGGCTACTTGTGAAACATCTGAACAAGTCACATTGAGGGTGTGTGTGGAAGACACAGGAATTGGAATCCCTTTTTCAGCTCAGGATAGGATATTCATGCCTTTTGTGCAGGCTGACAGCTCAACTTCACGAAATTATGGGGGCACTGGTATTGGCTTGAGTATCAGCAAATGTCTGGTTGAACTGATGGGTGGTAAGATAAACTTCATAAGCCGACCCCAGATTGGGAGCACTTTCTCGTTTACTGCAGTTTGTGGAAGATTTAAGAAAGGTCCGGTTACTGACATGAAGAAAAATTTGGAAGATCTTCCTTCAAGTTTTAGAGGGCTGAAAGTCATCGTTGTTGATGGAAAACCTGTTAGAGCTGCTGTGACTAGATACCATTTGAAGAGACTAGGTATACTAGTTAAGGTTGAAAGTAGCATCAGTAAGGCTGTTGCTTTATATGGTAAAAGTTGTTCTCTGGACTCAGGGTAAGTTCTATTTTTCCTTCTTTATTTTTTTTTTTGGATAGAATTGGTGTTAATTATGAAGAAACTGAAAGTGATAATGAACTACAGTGATGTCAACATTTTTATATTGTTCTCAACACATGCTTGTGGTTTTAAAAAAGTTTTTTAAACTGACTATGCAATTTTAAACACATTCTGCAGTTTTATCAGGGTGTTATCGTTGAAACTCTCACATGGCTTACCTTAATTACTGGGTGTGCCTTATATATATCTAGTGAGCAAATTTGTTAAATGCCAATTGGTTTTAAGATGCAATTTGTCAGTGATGCCGAGCTTTGGTGCCTCATTGTGTTCAATAATGTATTGGCATAGTCATCATGACTCAATTGGCAAGTTTCAATATGGATATTCTTTTGTACCAGTGGGGTTTTAAATTTCTATTGGTTATGTTTCAGTTGTCTTCAATTTGAAATCAAAGACATATTTCTTGTTTGTGTCTGTTACTTTTAGTTTTTCATTCTTATGGCTTTTATTATTCTTGTAAGTTATATTCTCAAATTGCTTGTGACTATTTTTTTTACTACATATTGAGAAGATGTGCTATTACAAAATTTTTTGCTCAAGTTGCATGGTTGAGTTCATTCACTAATGAAACTACTTGGATGTGGCAGAATGTTCCTGCCAGATATTATCATGGTTGAGAAGGACACGTGGATATCTGGAGAAGATGGGATTTTCAATATGTGGAAACAGAATGGTCACATGTTTAAGATACCTAAAATGATCCTTCTGGCAACCAATATTAGTAACATTGAATTTGATAAAGCGAAGGCCATGGGTTTCACTGATACTGTGATCATGAAGCCCCTGAGAGCTAGTATGGTGGCTGCTTGTCTTCAGCAAGTTTTGGGGATGGGGAAGAAGAGGCAGCTAGGGAAAGACATGCCAAATGGTTCTGCTTTTCTACACAGCCTTCTCTATGGAAAGAAAATCTTGGTGGTTGATGACAATGGGGTAAACCGAAGGGTTGCTGCAGGTGCTCTGAAAAAGTTTGGAGCTGATGTGAAGTGTGCAGAAAGTGGCAAAGCAGCACTTGAAATGCTGCAATTGCCTCACAATTTTGATGCTTGCTTCATGGACATTCAAATGCCAGAAATGGATGGGTATGCATATTTATATTGACTGTTATATCTTCTTTTCATGCTTTATTACATGTTAAAATTATTTATACTGAAGTACTTAGAAAATTGTAGATCCATATTGTTGGGAATCTGAGTATGAGTCTAAGTCTCACATTAAGTAAAAATGAACAACATATAAGGTAGAAGATCCATAAATCCATTGTCTTAAGGTTTGGAATGGAGGCGGTATCAATTCCTTATGAGTTTGAACTGGTGATTTTTAATGATGTCTCTTCTTAGGAAATCCTTTCTCAGACCTATTACATGTTTCAAATGATAAAATGCATGAAGTGTTCATGGCTACTCTTGCCCTGGAAGTTACTCAATAGCATTTAATGTTTATTACATCCTTAAGATCTCTTAGATATCAGACTTTTGTTACATATTATGTCAAAGTAAAAATCTCAATTTTGTCTATATCTTGGTTTGTTCAAACTTGTAAGCAGTCCTCAATGCAGAGGAGAAGAATATGTTCTAATTCATGGAAACAAATAACTGTTTTTACACATTCTGCAGATTTCAAGCAACTAGCCAAATTCGGATGATGGAGAGCAAGGCAAATGAGGAGATGAAGAATGGGAGTGAGTGGCATGTGCCTATATTGGCCATGACAGCTGATGTGATCCATGCTACATATGATGAGTGCTTGAAACGTGGCATGGATGGATATGTATCAAAGCCATTCGAGGAAGAGAATCTGTATCAGGAAGTTGCAAAGTTTTTCAAAACAAAGACCATCTCAGACTCATAACAATGTGCTTCTTACTTGGCAACCAACTAGAAGATTGGAGACAACACATTTTAGTTTGATTGCTACTACAACTTTCTTCACATGTTGCATGTAACTTGTTCTTGTGCTTTGATGGAGTAACACTTGTTTTCTCAACATATTTGAGTTCATTGATGAGGGATCATACTAACTGCTACAGTTTGGTATTGTTAGAGTAAATGTATACCACGCTACACCCCCCAATTGTGTACAGATTATGGGTAGGGTACGAGTGAAATTATGTAAATTCAATGTTTTTTCCCTTATATTATTACTTCCCCACCCATCATTTAGAAGGCTTTTCAAAAGCAATANAATCTATTATATATATATATATATATATATATATATATATATATATAATGATTCAAATAAATAAAAATGAATTCAATAACTATGTATTTCATGAAAAGTATTATATGTGTTTATATTCTAACTCAATATAACATTTTAGATATCTTTAAATTTTGCAATTGTTTGTGTATGAACATTTGTGTATTTGAGTAGTTATAATTATTTATGTGTGAACATTCATGTCTTTGAATAATATTAATTCTTTCTTTACCACTTCTTGTGTCTTTCACTATACATATACATGAATGTGTATCTGATTTTATATCAATAATGTGTTTTTCTTATGAACTATTCAGTAACTATGGTTGAAAAATTTATTTTTCAACTTATATATATATATAATTTATATATCTTTACGTGTAATATTGAGAACATGGATTAATATAGAAAAAATATTATTATTAATATATTTATCATTTTTAGTATGGAATGACATTATAATACTAAATAATTATAAAAAATTAAAAAATGTCACTAAAATCTATAAAAAAGTATACAAAATATTAAACATAAATATTATAAAACACAAGTGAATTTTTTCATTAAAATAATTATAGTGGCTTATTTATAATTGTTATAAAACCAATGTAAAAGAAACATAAAAAAAGATAATTATACAATATAATATAACTGTTTACAAATTTAATTTGAAAAACAATAAATAAATATATATATATATATATATATATATATATATATTACATTTATATATTATATGTTAATAAAAGTTAGCTTAAAATAAGAAATAAAATTTTTCTCATACAAGAATGTAGACCACAACAATCTAAAATACTAAAAAATAGAAAGATTTAAAGTTGTACAAAAATAAAAGAAAAAAAATAAGTTTATAAGTTTGAGGAAGTAAGTATAGACATAGTTTGACTAAAAATTATTGGTGTGAGGAGAAACACAATCCTCATTTGGTCCTCAAACAGGATGATAACAATGACAAGGATGGGCCACATATATGAAATGTGGATGGTCCCAACTTATTTCCTCACATACAATAAAAAGAAGTAAATTATTTATTCACTTCCAATATCAAAAACAGTAAATAGGTAAAAGAGAAAAAAGAAAACCCAATCATGCGGTTTCCCAAAAAGCCCTATTCAATCCATATTTACATTTAATTATTTATTCATATGCAGTAATGTAATCCAACTAAAGAAAAAAAAATCCAAACAAAAGAAGAGGGTTCATTATTTTTGGGTTGTTGAGTTTCAAAAGAAACAGCAAGACAACATACAAACACAACCTTAATTTTCATTTTGGGAGAAATTATTAAAGAAAAAGAAATTAGAAAATCTAAATCCCTGGAAGCCACGAAGTGTTAGAATTTCTTGTCATTGAAGGTACCTTCTTTTGTTGCTTGACCCTCAATCAAAGACCAATCTTTTCCGTTTGGCATAGGGAACTTCAGCACTGAAGCCCTAATCACCATATCCATCCCCCTTTGCTCCTTCTCCTCCAACAGCATGGGTCGGGAAACTGTGTTCCTTCCAGCCCCACCAACCACTACCACCACTATAGTGAATCCAGTGGCAGCACCAGCTGCACCACCTACCTCTCTTGCTCCTGGTTTCAGGTTTCACCCAACTGACGAGGAGCTTGTTATCTATTACCTCAAGCGCAAGGTTTCTGGTAAAAGCTTCCGATTTGATGCTATATCTGAAGTGGACATATACAGGAGCGAGCCCTGGGACCTAGCTGGTCAGTCCCTTCTCCTAAAAAAATTATTTTTCTTACTTCTCTTTGCTTAAATTTGGAATTTCTACTGTTTTATTTTTATGGGTGTCTGTTTTGTTTGGTTTCTTAGCTGCTTCACTTTAATGGATTTTTTAGGTATTTTCAGTTTTTCTGATGTTTTTATTTTTGATTACGGGGTTGAATGTGTGTCTAGATAAATCAAGGTTGAAGACAAGGGACCAGGAGTGGTATTTCTTTAGTGCATTGGACAAGAAGTATGGAAATGGTGGAAGGATGAACAGGGCTACCAACAAAGGTTATTGGAAAGCCACTGGTAATGATCGGCCAGTGAAGCATGATCAAAGGACTGTGGGGTTGAAGAAAACTTTGGTGTTTCACAGTGGGCGAGCTCCTGATGGGAAGAGGACTAATTGGGTCATGCATGAGTACAGGCTTGTTGATGAGGAGTTAGAGAGGGCTGGGACTGGATCCTCTCAGCCTCAGGTGAGATTATAGAATTAATTTTAGAAATTGAAGCCTGAGATGACCCCAAAATGTATGAATTTGTACTGTTTACATGCTGCAACTGGGGTTTCTACCTGTTTTCTTAAGGAGATTAGCTTAGTTATTTTATGTGGTTCTCAAACCAAAATTGTATTTATGACACTTAGATGCAGGTTTCTAAGCTATGTTCTTTAGTAAATGTCAAAAGAATAGTTTGCTATGTACTGCACTATGGACATTGTTATTGTGTCACACATGTTAATAATTTTTGTGCATTTCTCTTCTGGATGGAGAAGGATGCGTATGTTTTGTGTAGAGTGTTTCACAAAAATAACATAGGACCTCCAAATGGGCAAAGATATGCACCCTTTGTTGAAGAAGAGTGGGATGATGCATCTGGAATGGTTCCAGGGGCAGACCCTGTGCATAATGGCTCTATCGCCCACCAGCCACGTGTTGAAGGCAACAATGGTGTTTTATTTGCTGAAGGGAGAAATGGTGTTCTACAGGTTAGTTAGCTCCTAGTTCTTTGGGCGTCTATTATGCTACTAATGATTAATTTTTGGATTTATGCTAGAATAAATTTGTTGATGCTTACATTTAATTAATGCGCAACCGTTGAATGTTTATTCTAAAAACAATGTTATTAATGGTGGATGTTTATTAAAAAAATACTGTAATCAACTGTGCATGACAAAAGGGCAACATTCCACCATATAAATATGCTCCATTGCAGCTTCTAGTACTGTCATAGCAGGCTTCCTTTTCTATATTTCCTATGGTGATAAGCATACAATCTGCTGCACCATCCTAGCTCTGTTATATTTTTAGCCTTCCATGTCAAGGGGGACTCTTTATTCTTTAAATTCATTGCATCTTCCTTTCTGCCATAATATTTAGGAAAAAAATAGTAGAATTGATAACTGGTCCGCTTCAATTTAATATGTCGATTATATGTCAGTTGTAAATGTGCAGTAATAATGTTCCCCACTTTACTTCGAGATTTTGTCCGTTTTTATCCTTTATTCCCTTGGTGGATTCTTTGTCTTTTGTATTTCTCCACTTTCTTCATTGCCGTATTAATATTTTTTTTTCTTTTCTCCATAACAAAAAATATATATAATAAGTTATAAGGTATTTTAGGTATTTGTTGTATTCTCTTATATACATGTCTTTGTGTGTGTATATATATTGATTTAATGGATTTTGCTATTCCTTTTCTAATTGACCTAGATTTTGAGCACTGAAAATCAATCCATGCTCTAATACAGTTTTAGTAGATACTGTTTTTTGATTTTCAAGTGAAACAGCTATTCTTCTTTCTCTGTTCATTTAACTATTGTTTGAGTGGCACAATTTTTCATCTTGAACTCTGAATGTTCACCCAGCTTTCTGAAATAGGTGATTGCTTTTTCTAAGTTCTGTATTCAACATCAGAAGAATCTTGCAACATAAAAGCTTGCATTTTATAGATAAGCAATGTTAAAAAACGAAGAGTGACTCAGATGGAAAATCTCATGTTTGGTTTATCTTATTTCGGATGGTATTTCCAGATTTTCAAGAGAACTTTTGAGAAAAATGCAATTACTTACCCAACATAATTTGTTTCCAAACAGGCACCAATTTCTGTTTGGGTTACACGTTGTGTATGTGGTTCAAATACCACTGGAACCTATAGTCAAAATTAGGAACCAGGAGATCCATAAAACATTATTTTTGCATATACTTTGGCCTTTGATGTTGAAATTCATTATGCTCGTTGTGGAAGTGGCATTGTGGAAATATGTGCTATTTAAGATTCTGTGTGAGATCATGGGATTCTTTAAACTACCAATTTCAAAGACAATGGAACAGAAATGAGCAAGCACTAATTTTAGAGTCCAGGTTAGCTTGAAAAACGGGTCAAATTGAAAGATCTTGAATTTGTGAGTACATTTGTAGGAAATAATCTCTTTCACTGACTTTACTCTTCTTTGTGAAGGCGTGAACCCTTTCAAGACAAAACAAGATATGGTTGTCACTTTTGTCCAAGTCCTTTGACTTAGTTGGGCATGGTGTTGCCATCAACAAAATGATAAAGAAGTTACAGCAAAGTTCTAACAGCAAAATGGTCATGGTTCGGCAACCTTAATCCACAAATTGGCCATAGAGGATGAATAAGAGAACCATTTTGCACCATTGGAATCAATTTCCAAATAATTTACTCTTCTTTGTGAGTACATTTGTAGGAAATGATCTGTTTCACTAACTATACTCTTCTTTGTGAAGGTGTGAACCCTTCCAAAGACAAAACAAGATATGGTTGTCACTTTTGTCCAAGGCCATTGAGTTAGTTGGGTGTGGTGTTGCCATCAACACAACGATGAAGTTACAGCAAATGGTCATGGTTCAGTAAACTTAATTCTTAAATTGGCTATAGAGGATGAATAAAGAGATCCATTTTCCTACAGTGGAGTCAATGTCCAAATATCTTTTTACAGTGGCAGAAATTTAAAAGCAACCTCTTTAGCACTACCAACAAGCCCAACATTGAGAGTCGTAATTGTGAGTTTTTGGCGCCTGTTAAGTTTTAAATCCTTTGAAATTTTGTGGTTTCTTTGTGAGGGTGTACATGTGTAGGAGTTAGGTTGGGTCAGGAAAAGTGACCATTGGGGAGGAATTGTTCCTTGATAGAAGGGAGAAACTCCATAAAAGGTTTGATACCATCTACATTTAGCACATTAAGGGTTCCACTAGTTACAACTTTGACTCTTGCATGAATAGATAATGTTTTTGCTGGTGGCACAATAAAGAAGCCTTAGGTGTCTCATCTTAAATTTCGTGAAATCAAGTTAACTAAATGACTTTAACAAATGACAGTGTTAGAGGTGTTGGTGTGGTTTTATGTGTCAGTAACCACGAACTGGAAAGAGAGAGAAAAGAAAGATTTTTATTGAAAAGAACAAGAAATAGGAGAGCACTCTCTCCTCCAAGGGTTTCCCAACACAGATTTCTCCTTTTGCAAAGAGCTAATGCTCAATCTACAATAGTGAACCTTATTCCTCCTTCTCACAACAATGTAGTTCTTGTGAATAGTGTTCTGCATACTGTTCACTTGACCTGCTAAACCTCGTAAAGCTAGACTCTAATATGATCTTAAAAAGTAAGCTTTAAACTTAGCTCAATTTCACAAAACCAACTTGTAATGTTGAGTTAGGTCTAAAACTCACTTTCAAAGATGATATCAAAAGCCTTAGCAAAGTCTGTTATGGCTATTGTACCACTTCTTATTGGATTTCTATTTGATCACTTACAAATATGTAGTCTCAGATTTTAGATGTCGAGTTCTTAGCATGAGGGAGTGGGTTGGAGATTTCACATTAACATCATATGGATAAATTATAGTATACAAGTGAGTGCAACCTTTACCTTACAAGTTGGTTGTGTGAGGTTGAGCTTAAAACCCACAGTTTTTAATAAATTTATTTATTATTCTCCTTTGTTAACTGTTGCAACAAAGTCTCTAACTACTGTAACAGCTCATTCTATTAGAATTTTCCCCTAAATGAGCTTTCTTTTTAACCGTGCTTCCCCTTTGAAATAGAACCTTTTCCTCATGGTTGAATTTTGGTAATTGTTGTTAAATGCTAGTTTTGTCCTCCAATGTTGCCTCTTCAAGTGTTTTTCCCTTCCCTCTTCATCCTCTCATTTCTTGACTTTCCAACATCACAATTTCTCCTTCCTTAGTGATTTGTTCACCTTCAACAGGATCACAATCCTTGAGCCCTTTTTTGGAGCCCTCTTGGCACCACTCTATCCCCTCCTTGAAACTTGAGATTTATACCTCCATAACATTTCCGTTAATCCCCCAAAGTTTTTTTCATAATTCACTGCTTCTTCAATATCAATAGTTACACTCCGTATTGCATCAAATCTTTTGGGTCTTGTGGATGCACACCTTCCTTTTAATGTTTTGATGTAACCCTGCAAGAAAATACCCCAACAATTGTTTATTTGTTGTAAATGGAGCTTAAGCAACCAACAACCCAAACTCCCGAACATATAACTCTTCACTTGTGTTTTGACTCAATGCTGCCAAGCTCTTATAGGTCAAACCTCTCATTCAACCTCGAAACCTCCTTAATAGCATTATAGTCAATTACTCCTGAGAAGGATTCCCAGAAACCTTGTGCCAATATTGGTATCAATTTACTGCATTTCCTTCCATACTGATGAATGCGAACTTCATTTTCTCTTTTGCTTCACCTGTTAAATAAATTTCACCCTTGTGATGCACCCCAATGGGTCGTTTTTCTTCAAAGGTATGTAACTCCAACTTCTTCACCCATGTGTGTGGAGCTTCTTCTGATTCATAAAAGGTCACCACCCCCATTTCTTTTGTTGTATTCTACCTTGTTTTTCCATCCAAATTTGTTAGCATCTCCTTTATGTCATTGATGCCTTCTACACTATTGTTTTTAGGAGTGTACTCTCCTTGATTGTTGGTTGTCTGCTTCAGTTTCTCTATTGCGGATTCCAAAGTTGAGAATTTGGCTTTGTCTTGATCCATTCATCTCCAATTTGGACTCAGCAGGTCACACCAATTTGTTAGGAACTAGGCATTGACAAGAATAAGAAAAGAAAGAATTATATTGAATAGAATGAAAGAACAAGAGATAGGAGATCACTGTTTCCTCCTAGGGTTCCCCTTCACAAAGGATTTCTTCTTTCATAGAGAGGTAATGCTTTGTCTACAAAAATGAACCTCCTTTCTCCCTCTTCTCACAACAAGTGTATTTATTATTCTCTTTTTCCGAACTATTCTAACAAACTTTCTAAGTATCATAACAACCTATTCTGATATACTATGGCTTTAGGCACAATATCTTTTCCTTACTAACAATATGATAAGGTATGGTTTGTAATTAAGTACAATTGTGATTGTAATTACTAAATTAGGGTGTTGATTATGTACAAAATTTATTTGTTTTGTTTCCTTGTTTACTTATTTGGGTTGCCATATTAAAAACTCCTGATTTGAAGGGGCTCTACTTAAGTATTCAAAGCCTACCTGCCTTCATTGCTTGATATGTTTTTTGGCACATTCAATGTGCCCTTAGAAGTGCAAACCAGCAAGGTAGCAGTATTAGTTTGACCTCTGCCATTGCCACTTCATCTACCATCAGTGGTGTATGTTAAAAAGGAATACTAGGGTTGACAACATTTTAAAATTAAATATTTTTATTATTTTTATGTCCAGAAAAAAATTGGGCTTAGAGGTATTTTTTTTTTAATTTGGGAGGAAGTGGTCATGGCCCTGCCACTGTCTACCACCTTCATGATCAATCTAATTGATGACCCTACTAGGAGAACTGTCTTGTTAAGATTGATTTATTGCTGAAGTTTGGTTGTCATCAAAGTACTGACATGTCGTCAATTGCATGAAGAGCTCCAACTCTTGTTTGGTTGTACTTCCTTTGTTGGTGTTTACAACCACATTCATTGCACGTTGGACCCTTGGCTGCTGAGTCTGTTTACATTGGGTATGAATCTAGAAAAAAGGGATACAAGTCTTATAATCCCTAGACTTTTCATGCCTTTGTTATTGTTTTACCATGGATGTAACCGACAAAGCTGTCTTTTACATTGGTCCTCGTATTCAAGTGGAGAGCCGTTAGGATACTAAGTCTCAAACATGTTACACTTTCTCCTTATGTAGGATAATACGGTAATATTGACTCCTTAGGAAGAAGTTGCTATTGAAGAATCAACTGCAGATCCTGAAGAAGCAGTTGCTGCATAGAACATGGGAAAAATATAACTACCAAAGGAAGCAGATAATATTGACAAATACTACCAGCACTAGTATCTAAGAAGGAAAAAAACCACTTGATATTAATGATTTGTTTGTGGAAAGAAAAGTGTTGTTGAGGCAAGTATCTATATCTCACTTTGTATGTACTAATAATACTTTTTCTGTACAACATTAGAGTTTTGTTTCAGCTATTGATTCTATCAGGATTTCCAAAACTGTCCAAGAGGCCTATAGGATGAAAATTGTGTTCAAGTCATGGAACATATGTGGAATTAGATGGATATACACTGAAATATCAATTTGATGGTATATTGGGTTGATACAAGGCAGGCTGGTTGGAAAAGGGTATATCCAAACAAATGGAATAGACTATGAGAAGACATTTGTTCATTTACAAAGATGAATACCATTAAGATTACTCTCTCATTTGTAGCTCACTTTGGATAGGATCTACATATTTATGATGTAAAAAAAGGCATTTCTGCATGAAGACTTGGTGGAGGAGGTGCATATGGGGAATTGGACCGTGACTAAAGGTTTGGTAAAGTGGAAACATCAACTTCCAGAGGATCACGTGGGAGTTTTACTATGATCTTTTGTGGAGACTTCCTTCCTTCCATCCTTGAGGATAAACATGTTTCCAAGGGTGGTTAATGTCAGAAAAGAAAGGTTAAAAAGGAAATTGTAATAGCTGCGGCCTGGCCCAACTGTATTGTTGGAGAGTACATTATGGTAGTTACTCTTCAACTACACACTGAGAAAATAATAAATAGTTGAGTAATCAATCATTCTTCTAACCAGTTCTTGGTAGCTCTGCTTCTGAATAAAAAAACTTTGAAATTCTTCATCTCAGAATTCCCTATTTTCTTCCATAGTCCTTTAAATCTGAAATTCCTAGAACTATCGAAACACCCATATCAGATTATGTACAATTTCAATTTGTGATTTTTTTTCCTTATTTCCTTGATTAGATTAGCAGCATTTCGGTTTATATCTGTGTATAAATCTTTAATGTTGCAATTAAGAGAAACAATTCAGTCTTTCCTCTCTTTTCTAATTATAAGCAGGGGTCTTGCATGTCTTTGTGCTAGGAGGTTAAGGGTCATGCTATGTAAAGACTTCTAAGGCTTTGGTACATTGGTTGTTGAAAATCCAGTAACAGAAAATTTTAGATGAGACAAAATCTGAAGTGTTTATGAAAAAGGGCCATTGGTTGAATCTTGAGCTCACTATAATCGTTCTTTGGATATATTAAAAAGGACTCTACAGTTTGTGTGTGTAATGGGGAAGGTTGTGAATCTGCGGGAATCATGTATTCAAAGTGTATTTGGTTTAGACCAAAGGATTCCCCAGGAAAAGAAATCTTGCTAACATTAATCATCATCATTGGGTTCGTAGCACCCTTTTAAGACTGGTTTCTAGATTTCATTATATTTCTTATTTGATTTGATTAAAAGTCTAGTGCTAATTAATGAGCTCTGGTCATATCGTATCATTGCATGTCATATATCAATCAATATTTTATTACTGTTCTTTCCTTCATTCCTTCACTTCCTAATTCCTGTAGTTTCAACATGAGTTACAGCCATAGTCACCTTTCTATCACAAATAACATTTGAATTGTTAGTTATGTTCACTTATCTTAAACTCTATGAATTGCATCTCAGTTATGTATGTTATCTGGTGTGATGTATCCAAGATGCCCAACTAAATCAGGTTTTGTTATGTTATGATCTTCACCTTTTCATTTTCTCTACTATTGAGCATCTTGTTGGATTTACATTCATGACTTATACACTGTTATATTTCTAATTGGAAAGCATGAGAGTCCAAAAGCTTCTATCCACATACATCTCTAGCTGAAGTATATTATTTGCAAAATGCATGATACTGGCTGCTGCAGATTCTTGATAAAAGCTGAGTTGACCCTAGGTTGAAACCTATAGAGATAGGGAATTTTTCTTTTTGACTTTACCATGTTTTGCATTGTAGTTTTAGCCTCACCTAGGGTGTGATACATGCCATTGAATTCAAAATCATTTGTTTTTCCTCCTCTCTGGATCGGAAGTTACTGTTATATGGTGATATATTTTATGGTTGGTGTAATTNTTCCTTCATTCCTTCACTTCCTAATTCCTGTAGTTTCAACATGAGTTACAGCCATAGTCACCTTTCTATCACAAATAACATTTGAATTGTTAGTTATGTTCACTTATCTTAAACTCTATGAATTGCATCTCAGTTATGTATGTTATCTGGTGTGATGTATCCAAGATGCCCAACTAAATCAGGTTTTGTTATGTTATGATCTTCACCTTTTCATTTTCTCTACTATTGAGCATCTTGTTGGATTTACATTCATGACTTATACACTGTTATATTTCTAATTGGAAAGCATGAGAGTCCAAAAGCTTCTATCCACATACATCTCTAGCTGAAGTATATTATTTGCAAAATGCATGATACTGGCTGCTGCAGATTCTTGATAAAAGCTGAGTTGACCCTAGGTTGAAACCTATAGAGATAGGGAATTTTTCTTTTTGACTTTACCATGTTTTGCATTGTAGTTTTAGCCTCACCTAGGGTGTGATACATGCCATTGAATTCAAAATCATTTGTTTTTCCTCCTCTCTGGATCGGAAGTTACTGTTATATGGTGATATATTTTATGGTTGGTGTAATTTCATAATCGTTGGTTTAGTAGTGTGTTGATGATGTTGTTGATTTTATTAGAAGTTTTAGTTTCTACGTTTCTTGGGTTTCTATCTGCCAACATTGATTCACTGATTTGGAACTTGGCTCATCAAATATGTATATTCAAGTATGTGTTTTAGTAGTCTTTCTTGCTTTTTAAGATTTCCAGTTTTAACAACATATTAAAAGACTCGGGACTCAATTGTGGATGGTGGAAGTTTATTTGTAATATCTTTTCGAGCATAGGCTGTGTTTTATGAAGAAATAGTTGAAGTTCTTATTGTTGCACTACAATGCAGCTTCTATTTTATGAAGTCTTGGTGTGTGACAATTGTGGCAACCCTTCACTCTTGAAAATCTTAATCGAGGATCTGAAATTTGTTGATCTCAAGTTACTGATTCTGTTTTGTGTACTGTTCCTTGGTTTCACATTTGGTTGTGTTCTATTTCAGGACACTCAATCCATCAATAAAACTCCATTTGATGTGAACAAGCTTCCTATAGAAACTCAAAATCTTCTAGCTGTTTGCAAGAGAGAAAGCATGGCTGAGTATCCATCTCCTGAAAAGGATGATAATAATTGTAAGCAAGTGGATGAGTACCCTTCACCCCAAACAGACAATCCAAAACCCTTCTCTCTAATATACAAACGAAGGCGGCATAACTTGAACTCCAACCACTCTAATGTTTCTGGAGATTCAATCCGAACTGGTCAGGATCCATGCTCCTCTACAATAACTACTGCAGCAACAACACTCCCAACCACCACTGCTGGTGCTGACACCACCAACTCTGCACCAAAAAAGCATTTTCTGTCTGCACTGGTGGAATTTTCCCTGCAAGAGTCCCTTGAATCTAAGGAAAGTCTTGCTTTGATCAAGGCACCGGATTTTGATGCCGAAAACCTTGAGTCATCCATGTCTCCAAGCTCTGCCAAGTTCATCAAGAACTTGCAGAATGAGATCCATAAGCTTGCAGTCGAAAAGGAGACAATGAGGTTTGAGATGATGAGTGCTCAAGCGATGATTAACATTCTCCAGTCTCGTGTTGACGTTCTCAGCAAAGAAAATGAGGATTTGAAGAGAATGACCCAAAATCCTTAGACATTGGCAATGCATGCTCGTCTATCAGTTTAAGTTAGTTACAGCTGGTAATGAAGCTCGTTGTTCGGGACATTTTATTTCTGAGTAAGGATTTTAGTTCATTTCTATGGCTAAACTTGTCAGTGTTACAATTCCAAACTTGTCATCGTGTATCATATGACTTCCAATTTCCCATTGTCGTGACAGTGTCAGTGTTAGTTATTGCTTCTCTTTATTCAATAGATTAGCACCTCAATTTGAAGCTGAAATTTTATGACGTTCGTTCCATTGAGTCTTAAGGTAGTTGCACAAATCATATTTCAAGTGATCAGAATGCTTTTTAGTCCCTTTTCTCTTCATATTTTCCTCTTTTTATTAAATGACAGGTATCTTAAGATTTAGATGGCTTAACATTAAAAGTTCACATATGATTTTTGCATCACACAAAAACTTGTGAAAATTATCTTAAATGACTTTCTCATGCATAGTATTTAGAGAAAATGTAAAGTGAATTAAAACTACTACTACATTTGTCATGTGTCGGGCCATCACAACAAAAGACGAAATGGGATTTGATAGAAATCCATGGAGCAGCTCCCCATTATTATCATTCAAGGAAAATAATTGAAAAACCTGTCTTTTATTAATAGATTATAAATATTTCTAAATTTATGTGCACATCATCAACAAAGGTAATCCTTAAACAGGTTATTTCACTATATTTTGTGAAATACATTTTTCATCATGACCTTTATAATTATTTGGTAAAAGGGAAAACATATGTATTGATTCATATCTTTGTGTTTTTTTTTCTTTTACTTTTGGCTATTCTAGCACAAAAACAAATGATAACAAAAACAGCTTCAATGTAGTTTTAAACATTATAAAATGAAAGTAATTATAAAGTACAATAGAAAATTTTAACCTTATACACTCATATGGCTTTCACATCAACTAACATTAGTTTAATCAACATACTTAACCCTACAGAGATCATCAGTTTGGTTCATAACTAGTTTATATATTTCATTAACATTCAAACTAGTTTACTTATATTTTAGTTATTAAAAGTTTACTTATATTTTAGAAACTATCTATATACATGCCTCAAACTAGCTCATAAAATATCTTACCAAACACAAAAATAAAAGCTACCAAGAGTGAAAAAAGAAGAAGAAAGAGAGCATTAGTGGATATGAATGTCATAAACCATATTATCAAGAAAACAAATTAAAATGCAGGGTCATATCAAAGCATGAACCAGGAGCCAAAGTACTAATAAGAAAATCTGATATGAGAAAAAAACAGATAGAAAAAGTTGATGAAGGAGGAGGAACTATACCCAAGCTGTAGACGTGACTCGTAGATAGAGTTTCTGTGTTTGTTGATTGGTTCGTTTCTTGCTGGATGCTTGTGTATGTTGAATCAACTTGAAGAAAAAGTGAGAGTATTTTGTGAGTTCAGTTTGTGAAAACAAACGAGAGTGCCGAGTGAAAAGATTCAAGAAAAAAATTCTGGAATGGTCTTTTTATGTGCTCTGTGATGAGTGCTGAGTGTTGTGTTCTGATATCAGTTTTGAAATAGTGTTTTCGTGGCTCAGTGACTGTTATCACATGAAAAAATAAGTAAGAGACATAAGACTGTACCTGCGGTTCATATGTATATAGGCTAATGAGTGGCAGAAATGGTAAGAGAGTGGCAGAACAGTGCAATGTTGGGCTATAAAAGGAAACCATGGGAGACACTGGAAGGAGAAATACCATGCAAAACATCAACATTTTCTTTGTTTTTTGTCTCTGTTTACCTTTTCATAGTTCAACATTTCAGCATTTTCACAAATGCAGAAAGGTTTAACAGTATCTTTTTCGAAAAGGACTGTTTTAAACAAATCACATAATTAAAGCTCGATTAAAATATAGTAAAATATTTTTCTTACTTGTATTTTCGTAAAGTATAATCTCTTTCTTTCTGCATATGTTATTGTTTTTGTACAGTACCGGACTGCTAAAACATAAAGTGGTTTATGTTTTTTGCACTTGATGTCATAGGAGAGATAGAATATGTTCTGTGAGCATAGAGAAGTATGATTTCTATGGAAATTAACTGATGAGCAAATGTTTGTATACGAAAATTTTCAATTAAAAAGGAGGCTAAGACATTATAATTAAATTTGAAATTGTTCAACTGTGATATCTATATCTTGATAGATGCAATAAAAAATTAAAATTTATCACTTTGTGTATCTCATCTTGGAAATTGATTAAATAAAATATAAGAAATCAATAATTGTCAAAGCCCAGTAACTAGGTCCAACAATGACCCTATTCTGAGATTGTTGCTCTCTCTACACCACTAAATCCTCCATCCACCATCCATACCTAATTTGTCCTTCCAATTTTACCTTCAACGGATGTTGATATACGTCAACGGATATGATCACATCCGTAACCTAAAAACTAAAAAAAAAATAAAAACATAACGGATGTGACACATTCGTTTAACTAATAATAATATAAAAATATTATAATAATTAATTAAATAATAATATATAAATTAAATTAATAATAATTATTTTACTAAATAAATAAAACTAATTTATTTATAATTATGTAATAATTTTTTTAAAAAATTAAATAATATTTATATATTAATTTAAAATATAATAAATTAAATAAACTAAAAAAAAACTTACTGTGACACATCTAATAACATAAAAAAATTTATAATAATTAATTAAATAATAATATATAAATTAAATTAATAATAATTATTTTACTAAATAAAATAAAACTAATTTATATATAATTACATAATAATTTTTTAAAAAAATTAAATAATATTTATACATTAATTTAAAATATAATAAATTAATAAAAAAACTTACAGATGTGACACATGTGTTACTTAATAACATAATTTTTTTTATAATAAATAATTAAATAATAATATATAAATTAAATTAATAATTATTATTTTATTAAATAAAATAAAACTAGATTATATATAATTATATAATAAATTTTAAAAAAATTAAATAATATTTATATATTAATTTAAAATATAATAAATTAATAAAAAAATTCAACGGATGTGTCACATCTGTTGAAGAATTTTTTCTTCAACGGATGTTGATATCCGTTGAAAAAATGAGGTGGGGTGTAGGATATTTTAAATATAAAAGATAGTTTTGGAATTTAAAAAAAAAACATGATGGTGCAGGGAGGTGGTGTACGGAGTAATCTTCCTATTTTGAACATGTCATTAAAATAAAATAAGGACACTTTTTCTGACTCCACCCTACATAAAATAAATTCATTTTACTTTTTTTTAGTGTGCAATTTATTTATTTTTTAATTTTCATTTTTTACTTTCAGATTAAATAATTTGAAAATATTTTAAATTGTATAATTTGGAAGAAAAAAAACAACTTTGATACAATTTAAAATTCAGTTAACTTTTAAATTATATAATTCAAATTTAGCTTTTGGATTATATAATTTGAAATTTATTTAAATTTCAATCTGACATTTATTTAGCTTCAAGGTTGTATGATCTAAAAAAAAATAACCTTTTGGATTATATAATTTAGAAATCATTTTTAACTTTTGAATTTTGCAATTCCAAAAGATAAAATGAAAGTTTTCTTAATATGGGACATAAGGAGGTGCAGGAAGAAAATACCTTAAACGAGCTTGGATATTATATATTGGGTTTTTGGAATGTGAGAGAAATGGAGTAAAATCTTCCCTATCTTATTCTAAAATCTGAGAATGTATGAAATTAAAATAAAAAAAGTTTAGTTTCTTTATTGATGAGTGTAATAGACTAACCTTGGTGTAGAATTTTGGTGTTATGATTATGTTTGGATAATTATAATAATATTTTATAGGCATAATACCCAATTTTGTCCCCACTTTGGTTCGGAAATCTCAAGTTAGTCCCTTTATAGAAAAGTGAGTTGAATTGATCCTTACTTGTAATTAATTGACTCTAATGAGTCCCTTCCGTTAAATAGAAGGAAACGGAGTTAGTGGACTGGTGATGTGGCAGTTGTCTTTGGTGAGGTGTCAATACGCAATTGTTTGCCATCCCTTCCACTATTCGAAACCCTTCTTCTCTGTTGCGCCCTCAACCACCTTCTCCTCCCTCCAAACCATTCCCTCCCACCAAGAAAAAATCCCCAAAACCCATCCCACAACAACCAAACCCTCTCTTCAAATCTCCAAATCTCGAAGATGCCAAGAAAATCTTCGACTCCATCGCCAATTCCTCCAAAGACCCTCGCTTTCCCAATTCCCTCCTCCACTCCTACGCCAAAATCGCCACCTCCACCTCCGACTCCGTCAAATTCCTCCACCACATCACCAAAACCCTCCCTTCCTTCTCCCCCGATCATTCCACCTTCCACATTCTCCTTTCCCACTCCTGCACCAACCCCGATTCCAATTCCAATCCCAATTCCAATTCCGCTCTCTCCGCAATCCACCAAACTCTAAATTCAATGCGCGCCGCCGGCGTCACTCCGGATGCCGCCACAACTGATGTTTCGGTTCGCGCCTTGTGCTCCGCCGGCCACCTTGACCATGCCGTTGACTTGATCAAAGAATTCGCCTCCAAGCACTGCCCTCCGGACACCTACACCTTCAATTTCCTAGTCAAGCACCTCTGCAAAGCTCGCGCCTTGTCCACTGTTTACGCCTTCATCGACGAAATGCGCGAAAAATTCGGTGTGAAGCCTGATCTTGTTTCCTACACTATCCTGATTGACAATGTGTGTAATGGTAAGAACTTGAGAGAGGCAATGAGGCTAGTGAGTGTGCTTCATGAGGAAGGGTTTAAGCCTGATTGCTTTGTGTATAACACCATTATGAAAGGGTATTGTGTGTTGAGCAGAGGGAGTGAGGCGATTGAGGTTTATAACAAGATGAAGGAGGAAGGGGTGGAGCCTGATCTTGTTACTTACAACACTTTGATTTTTGGGTTGTCCAAGTCGGGGAGGGTGGTGGAGGCGAAGAAGCTGCTGCGTGTGATGACGGAGAAGGGTTATCTTCCTGATGAGGTGACTTATACTACATTGATGAATGGGATGTGTAGGAAGGGGGAGGCTCTGGCAGCGCTGGCATTGCTTGGGGAGATGGAGGGGAAGGGGTGCAGCCCCAATGAATGCACATATAACACACTGCTGCACGGGTTGTGCAAGGAAGGTGGTTTGAAGCTTGATACTGCTTCCTATGGGACATTTGTGAGGGCACTATGTAGGGATGGCAAACTATTGACACCTCACCAAAGACAACTGCCACATCACCAGTCCACTAACTCCGTTTCCTTCTATTTAACGGAAGGGACTCATTAGAGTCAATTAATTACAAGTAAGGATCCATTCAACTCACTTTTCTATAAAGGGACTAACTTGAGATTTCCGAAGCAAAGTAGGGACAAAATTGGGTATTATGCCTATTTTATATTTTTTTTTTAAAATTAATTGTTATATTTTATTGGATATATGTTAGTAATAGTGTTAAAATTATTAAAATAGAATGTCACACTAAATATCTATTTATATATTTTTTAATAATTAAAAGAAGAATTTCATTTATAAAAACTACTTCTGTTATTACGTATTTGACAGATTCTTAATTCAACTTTGTAATTTTATTTGTTCAATTAAAGTAAGAAAAACAATTTAAAAATTAAAATTTCACACCAACTTAATTAAAACTAACATTAAAAGTAAAAAATAACTTTAATCACTAATAGATTAAAAGGTTATACTAAGTTAATTTAGGTTTGATTATTTAAAATATTAGTATTTGAATAATTAAGTGAGTTAATATATTTTGAATAGAAATTTAAGTAGTTATTTGTAGCAGAAGTCAAACCGTAATCTCTCATATATCATTTATAAATCCTCACTTTGCATGCTTGTAGAGTTCTATATATAATTTCATCTTTACTTTGTATTCCAAACAAAATACAAAGATTTGATTATTCATCATGCATACTGTTCCATTAGTCATTGTTACGATAGAACATTCATAGTTTATTATTATTTAAGCAAGTTACTTATCTTAGTTTTGTGAGTTTCATATAAATCAATTAGTCTAACAATTAATTCACTTATTATTAATATTTAAAATATTTTATTCATTGATTTATATTATTTTAAATAAACTCATGTTACACACAGCTGCGATTAATTGATCTTATTCAAAACACGATTTTATTTTCGTAAGTAACAAACATGCTTGTATATACACAACAATACTCACCACGTTAAGATCTGCTAAAGCTTATGAATGTTAAATATATATTATTTTACGTAAATTAGTTAGCACTATCAAATTTAATTCAGAAATTTTCATTATTTGTGACAGATATACTACTGAAAGGGTTTCGTTTTCTTTCTTATATTGGTCGTAATAATTAAACATATTTTTTTCCCTAAATCATTATAATGAAAAGATTAAACAAGAATTTTCATACAACACTGGTTTTTTTGGTTCTTTCTCTTTTGTGTCGATGCACTGCACAAGTTGACATCAGTGAGCCAATTCCACTGTGCCACCTGTCCAACCTGCACACACTTAGCACGTGCCATCATAGAATCTACCATTGTCATTTCTGTGCACATTCCAACCACCTAGAACCTTCTTCTACTTCTCTTTCTTACTCACCCTATTTCATACCAAAACCCAAAATTTCTCCCATTCATAATCCCAATTCTCCCTCTTCACCAATCATAAACGAGAGCCCTAATCCCCTGTTATCTTTCACTCTTTTTCTCTCTCCGCGATTCATCTCTCTTGAATCCAATCCATGGCACCTATGGGTCCCGGCTTCCGATTCCACCCCACCGACGAAGAGCTGGTGGTGTTCTACCTGAAGCGCAAGATCACCGGAAACCTGTCCCGGTACGACCACATCGCAGTGGTTGATGTCTACAAGCTCGAGCCCTGGGACCTTCCCCGTTAGCATTTTGCCCTTTTCTGTGGTATCGAATTGTTAGCAATAGGGTTTGGTTCCAAAGATTCAAAGTGTTTCTTAACTTATTTCGGTTTTTCAGCTCTGTCGAAGCTCAAGACCAAGGACTTGGAATGGTACTTCTTTAGCGTGCTGGACCGCAAGTATGGAAATGGCTCCAGGACCAACCGCGCCACCGAGAAGGGCTACTGGAAGACCACGGGAAAGGACCGCCCTGTGGCCCATGGCGACCGCACCGTGGGGATGAAGAAGACCCTCGTGTACCACATCGGTCGAGCCCCACATGGCCGTCGCACCAATTGGGTCATGCACGAGTACAAGATGCTCGATGAAGAATTGACTCGTGCTGGCACAGTGCTGGTATATCTCCTCTCTATTTCTTTTTTGTCTTTGATTTGCTGTTCTGTTGATACTTATTCTAGGTGAGACTTTTTTTTTTGGGAGAAGGATGTGTATGTGGTATGTAGGATTTTCGAGAAGAGTGGTGCTGGACCAAAGAATGGGGCCAAGTATGGTGCTCCCTTGGACGAGAAGGAGTGGGATGTGGATGAGGAGAATGAGCAGAAGGAGGTGGTTGCCTTACCTGCGACTGCTCATCGTGTGGTGGTTCCCTTGACGGAGATTCGTCCTAACGTGGTTGCTCCTCCTTTGCCCGCGACAGCTGCCGTGGCTCCTCCTGTGGTAGCAACTGGTGGTGACTTTTGCGATGGTATTGGGGTGGCTCTTCCTTCGGTAGCAACTGGTACTGATTTTTGGGATGATATTGGGGCCTTTTTGGAAACTAACGACCTTGACGGGGTATGTATTCATCGTGTTGTATTTGTGTCCCAAGTAATAGGGTTGATATGTGAGGAAATATTCTATATATGGCTTGGGATAATTTTTTGTTTTTCCTTTAAATGGACGGATTAAAGGATTTTCTATTTGCAGGTTGGATGAGTTCTGGTTGCATGGATTAATGTTTGTGTTACTGTTTTATGTTTGGATATATTTTTCCTTGTCGGCTGTGGTGTCTTTTTTGTAATTATTTTCTTCTCGGACTGTGTGCAGGTGTTTAATATATCAATATTGTTGTGGGACCTTTATTTGGGTTGCTCTAATGTTGTTTGTGTTGTCCTTTACGTAATCTCGATTGGAAGAAGTCTTCTTGGTTTCAGTCCTTTTGAAGTTGGTATGTAGTATATATCGTTGGGCACAGTTTTGATTTCCCCCTAGAGGATGCTGAAAACATTTTAGGAAAACGTTGAGTGTGAAGTTTAGTATGATTTTGGTGCACACAGATTCATGTAGTTGTCATTCACTAGTATGTAGTCCCGTCACTGGTTTTGTCAATATTATGGCTTTTCTATAGAATTTGTTTGGTTATTTATTCGTAAAACATGTCTGCGGCTCTTAGTGTTTTTTTAAGTTGGTTGGGTTGTTTTCTCTGAATGACTTGGTATTCTCTAACTAAATAATGTCTTCAATATGCAGGAACTTGATTTGAGTGATATGATTGGGGGTGTTACTTTTCCATCACTAAACTTTCATCACGGGGAGTGTAGTACCTACGCTGAAAATTCCCAAGAACTCATCAAGGATCAGGAGCCATTGGCGGGCACCTTTGGAATTTCTGGGCCTGAAAATGGCCAGACTCTTGATATGCCTGAGCAACATGATATGGGCACAGGTTCAGTGAAAGATGAAGACAAGGGTGAGCAGAGCGAAATTGTGAATCTTCTCAATTTCAATGATGCATCGGATAATATGGATCTGGATCTATATTTTGATGCCGCCCAGAATCTTCCAACGGCTGATGATGAATCATTCTTGGAAACCAATGATCTTGCAATTGGGAATGAGGATGATCTCATTGAGGCTGATCCTTCTGCGAATGATATTATGCTAGACAAGTATCTTCCACNCTGATGTTTCGGTTCGCGCCTTGTGCTCCGCCGGCCACCTTGACCATGCCGTTGACTTGATCAAAGAATTCGCCTCCAAGCACTGCCCTCCGGACACCTACACCTTCAATTTCCTAGTCAAGCACCTCTGCAAAGCTCGCGCCTTGTCCACTGTTTACGCCTTCATCGACGAAATGCGCGAAAAATTCGGTGTGAAGCCTGATCTTGTTTCCTACACTATCCTGATTGACAATGTGTGTAATGGTAAGAACTTGAGAGAGGCAATGAGGCTGGTGAGTGTGCTTCATGAGGAAGGGTTTAAGCCTGATTGCTTTGTGTATAACACCATTATGAAAGGGTATTGTGTGTTGAGCAGAGGGAGTGAGGCGATTGAGGTTTATAACAAGATGAAGGAGGAAGGGGTGGAGCCTGATCTTGTTACTTACAACACTTTGATTTTTGGGTTGTCCAAGTCGGGGAGGGTGGTGGAGGCGAAGAAGCTGCTGCGTGTGATGACGGAGAAGGGTTATCTTCCTGATGAGGTGACTTATACTACATTGATGAATGGGATGTGTAGGAAGGGGGAGGCTCTGGCAGCGCTGGCATTGCTTGGGGAGATGGAGGGGAAGGGGTGCAGCCCCAATGAATGCACATATAACACACTGCTGCACGGGTTGTGCAAGGAAGGTGGTTTGAAGCTTGATACTGCTTCCTATGGGACATTTGTGAGGGCACTATGTAGGGATGGCAAACTATTGACACCTCACCAAAGACAACTGCCACATCACCAGTCCACTAACTCCGTTTCCTTCTATTTAACGGAAGGGACTCATTAGAGTCAATTAATTACAAGTAAGGATCCATTCAACTCACTTTTCTATAAAGGGACTAACTTGAGATTTCCGAAGCAAAGTAGGGACAAAATTGGGTATTATGCCTATTTTATATTTTTTTTTTAAAATTAATTGTTATATTTTATTGGATATATGTTAGTAATAGTGTTAAAATTATTAAAATAGAATGTCACACTAAATATCTATTTATATATTTTTTAATAATTAAAAGAAGAATTTCATTTATAAAAACTACTTCTGTTATTACGTATTTGACAGATTCTTAATTCAACTTTGTAATTTTATTTGTTCAATTAAAGTAAGAAAAACAATTTAAAAATTAAAATTTCACACCAACTTAATTAAAACTAACATTAAAAGTAAAAAATAACTTTAATCACTAATAGATTAAAAGGTTATACTAAGTTAATTTAGGTTTGATTATTTAAAATATTAGTATTTGAATAATTAAGTGAGTTAATATATTTTGAATAGAAATTTAAGTAGTTATTTGTAGCAGAAGTCAAACCGTAATCTCTCATATATCATTTATAAATCCTCACTTTGCATGCTTGTAGAGTTCTATATATAATTTCATCTTTACTTTGTATTCCAAACAAAATACAAAGATTTGATTATTCATCATGCATACTGTTCCATTAGTCATTGTTACGATAGAACATTCATAGTTTATTATTATTTAAGCAAGTTACTTATCTTAGTTTTGTGAGTTTCATATAAATCAATTAGTCTAACAATTAATTCACTTATTATTAATATTTAAAATATTTTATTCATTGATTTATATTATTTTAAATAAACTCATGTTACACACAGCTGCGATTAATTGATCTTATTCAAAACACGATTTTATTTTCGTAAGTAACAAACATGCTTGTATATACACAACAATACTCACCACGTTAAGATCTGCTAAAGCTTATGAATGTTAAATATATATTATTTTACGTAAATTAGTTAGCACTATCAAATTTAATTCAGAAATTTTCATTATTTGTGACAGATATACTACTGAAAGGGTTTCGTTTTCTTTCTTATATTGGTCGTAATAATTAAACATATTTTTTTCCCTAAATCATTATAATGAAAAGATTAAACAAGAATTTTCATACAACACTGGTTTTTTTGGTTCTTTCTCTTTTGTGTCGATGCACTGCACAAGTTGACATCAGTGAGCCAATTCCACTGTGCCACCTGTCCAACCTGCACACACTTAGCACGTGCCATCATAGAATCTACCATTGTCATTTCTGTGCACATTCCAACCACCTAGAACCTTCTTCTACTTCTCTTTCTTACTCACCCTATTTCATACCAAAACCCAAAATTTCTCCCATTCATAATCCCAATTCTCCCTCTTCACCAATCATAAACGAGAGCCCTAATCCCCTGTTATCTTTCACTCTTTTTCTCTCTCCGCGATTCATCTCTCTTGAATCCAATCCATGGCACCTATGGGTCCCGGCTTCCGATTCCACCCCACCGACGAAGAGCTGGTGGTGTTCTACCTGAAGCGCAAGATCACCGGAAACCTGTCCCGGTACGACCACATCGCAGTGGTTGATGTCTACAAGCTCGAGCCCTGGGACCTTCCCCGTTAGCATTTTGCCCTTTTCTGTGGTATCGAATTGTTAGCAATAGGGTTTGGTTCCAAAGATTCAAAGTGTTTCTTAACTTATTTCGGTTTTTCAGCTCTGTCGAAGCTCAAGACCAAGGACTTGGAATGGTACTTCTTTAGCGTGCTGGACCGCAAGTATGGAAATGGCTCCAGGACCAACCGCGCCACCGAGAAGGGCTACTGGAAGACCACGGGAAAGGACCGCCCTGTGGCCCATGGCGACCGCACCGTGGGGATGAAGAAGACCCTCGTGTACCACATCGGTCGAGCCCCACATGGCCGTCGCACCAATTGGGTCATGCACGAGTACAAGATGCTCGATGAAGAATTGACTCGTGCTGGCACAGTGCTGGTATATCTCCTCTCTATTTCTTTTTTGTCTTTGATTTGCTGTTCTGTTGATACTTATTCTAGGTGAGACTTTTTTTTTTGGGAGAAGGATGTGTATGTGGTATGTAGGATTTTCGAGAAGAGTGGTGCTGGACCAAAGAATGGGGCCAAGTATGGTGCTCCCTTGGACGAGAAGGAGTGGGATGTGGATGAGGAGAATGAGCAGAAGGAGGTGGTTGCCTTACCTGCGACTGCTCATCGTGTGGTGGTTCCCTTGACGGAGATTCGTCCTAACGTGGTTGCTCCTCCTTTGCCCGCGACAGCTGCCGTGGCTCCTCCTGTGGTAGCAACTGGTGGTGACTTTTGCGATGGTATTGGGGTGGCTCTTCCTTCGGTAGCAACTGGTACTGATTTTTGGGATGATATTGGGGCCTTTTTGGAAACTAACGACCTTGACGGGGTATGTATTCATCGTGTTGTATTTGTGTCCCAAGTAATAGGGTTGATATGTGAGGAAATATTCTATATATGGCTTGGGATAATTTTTTGTTTTTCCTTTAAATGGACGGATTAAAGGATTTTCTATTTGCAGGTTGGATGAGTTCTGGTTGCATGGATTAATGTTTGTGTTACTGTTTTATGTTTGGATATATTTTTCCTTGTCGGCTGTGGTGTCTTTTTTGTAATTATTTTCTTCTCGGACTGTGTGCAGGTGTTTAATATATCAATATTGTTGTGGGACCTTTATTTGGGTTGCTCTAATGTTGTTTGTGTTGTCCTTTACGTAATCTCGATTGGAAGAAGTCTTCTTGGTTTCAGTCCTTTTGAAGTTGGTATGTAGTATATATCGTTGGGCACAGTTTTGATTTCCCCCTAGAGGATGCTGAAAACATTTTAGGAAAACGTTGAGTGTGAAGTTTAGTATGATTTTGGTGCACACAGATTTATGTAGTTGTCATTCACTAGTATGTAGTCCCGTCACTGGTTTTGTCAATATTATGGCTTTTCTATAGAATTTGTTTGGTTATTTATTCGTAAAACATGTCTGCGGCTCTTAGTGTTTTTTTAAGTTGGTTGGGTTGTTTTCTCTGAATGACTTGGTATTCTCTAACTAAATAATGTCTTCAATATGCAGGAACTTGATTTGAGTGATATGATTGGGGGTGTTACTTTTCCATCACTAAACTTTCATCACGGGGAGTGTAGTACCTACGCTGAAAATTCCCAAGAACTCATCAAGGATCAGGAGCCATTGGCGGGCACCTTTGGAATTTCTGGGCCTGAAAATGGCCAGACTCTTGATATGTCTGAGCAACATGATATGGGCACAGGTTCAGTGAAAGATGAAGACATGGGTGAGCAGAGCGAAATTGTGAATCTTCTCAATTTCAATGATGCATCGGATAATATGGATCTGGATCTATATTTTGATGCCGCCCAGAATCTTCCAACGGCTGATGATGAATCATTCTTGGAAACCAATGATCTTGCAATTGGGAATGAGGATGATCTCATTGAGGCTGATCCTTCTGCGAATGATATTATGCTAGACAAGTATCTTCCACTCCCTGACGATGACGATGATGATATTTGGAAATATATATCGTTCGATTATTCTCAGGTTGCAGAGAGTGAAAACTCTAATTCCAACCAAGGATCACCTTTAACCCAGCAGGTTATGACCGACTCTATCTTTATAGTCATTTGCCTTGTAGGTATTATNCTGATGTTTCGGTTCGCGCCTTGTGCTCCGCCGGCCACCTTGACCATGCCGTTGACTTGATCAAAGAATTCGCCTCCAAGCACTGCCCTCCGGACACCTACACCTTCAATTTCCTAGTCAAGCACCTCTGCAAAGCTCGCGCCTTGTCCACTGTTTACGCCTTCATCGACGAAATGCGCGAAAAATTCGGTGTGAAGCCTGATCTTGTTTCCTACACTATCCTGATTGACAATGTGTGTAATGGTAAGAACTTGAGAGAGGCAATGAGGCTGGTGAGTGTGCTTCATGAGGAAGGGTTTAAGCCTGATTGCTTTGTGTATAACACCATTATGAAAGGGTATTGTGTGTTGAGCAGAGGGAGTGAGGCGATTGAGGTTTATAACAAGATGAAGGAGGAAGGGGTGGAGCCTGATCTTGTTACTTACAACACTTTGATTTTTGGGTTGTCCAAGTCGGGGAGGGTGGTGGAGGCGAAGAAGCTGCTGCGTGTGATGACGGAGAAGGGTTATCTTCCTGATGAGGTGACTTATACTACATTGATGAATGGGATGTGTAGGAAGGGGGAGGCTCTGGCAGCGCTGGCATTGCTTGGGGAGATGGAGGGGAAGGGGTGCAGCCCCAATGAATGCACATATAACACACTGCTGCACGGGTTGTGCAAGGAAGGTGGTTTGAAGCTTGATACTGCTTCCTATGGGACATTTGTGAGGGCACTATGTAGGGATGGCAAACTATTGACACCTCACCAAAGACAACTGCCACATCACCAGTCCACTAACTCCGTTTCCTTCTATTTAACGGAAGGGACTCATTAGAGTCAATTAATTACAAGTAAGGATCCATTCAACTCACTTTTCTATAAAGGGACTAACTTGAGATTTCCGAAGCAAAGTAGGGACAAAATTGGGTATTATGCCTATTTTATATTTTTTTTTTAAAATTAATTGTTATATTTTATTGGATATATGTTAGTAATAGTGTTAAAATTATTAAAATAGAATGTCACACTAAATATCTATTTATATATTTTTTAATAATTAAAAGAAGAATTTCATTTATAAAAACTACTTCTGTTATTACGTATTTGACAGATTCTTAATTCAACTTTGTAATTTTATTTGTTCAATTAAAGTAAGAAAAACAATTTAAAAATTAAAATTTCACACCAACTTAATTAAAACTAACATTAAAAGTAAAAAATAACTTTAATCACTAATAGATTAAAAGGTTATACTAAGTTAATTTAGGTTTGATTATTTAAAATATTAGTATTTGAATAATTAAGTGAGTTAATATATTTTGAATAGAAATTTAAGTAGTTATTTGTAGCAGAAGTCAAACCGTAATCTCTCATATATCATTTATAAATCCTCACTTTGCATGCTTGTAGAGTTCTATATATAATTTCATCTTTACTTTGTATTCCAAACAAAATACAAAGATTTGATTATTCATCATGCATACTGTTCCATTAGTCATTGTTACGATAGAACATTCATAGTTTATTATTATTTAAGCAAGTTACTTATCTTAGTTTTGTGAGTTTCATATAAATCAATTAGTCTAACAATTAATTCACTTATTATTAATATTTAAAATATTTTATTCATTGATTTATATTATTTTAAATAAACTCATGTTACACACAGCTGCGATTAATTGATCTTATTCAAAACACGATTTTATTTTCGTAAGTAACAAACATGCTTGTATATACACAACAATACTCACCACGTTAAGATCTGCTAAAGCTTATGAATGTTAAATATATATTATTTTACGTAAATTAGTTAGCACTATCAAATTTAATTCAGAAATTTTCATTATTTGTGACAGATATACTACTGAAAGGGTTTCGTTTTCTTTCTTATATTGGTCGTAATAATTAAACATATTTTTTTCCCTAAATCATTATAATGAAAAGATTAAACAAGAATTTTCATACAACACTGGTTTTTTTGGTTCTTTCTCTTTTGTGTCGATGCACTGCACAAGTTGACATCAGTGAGCCAATTCCACTGTGCCACCTGTCCAACCTGCACACACTTAGCACGTGCCATCATAGAATCTACCATTGTCATTTCTGTGCACATTCCAACCACCTAGAACCTTCTTCTACTTCTCTTTCTTACTCACCCTATTTCATACCAAAACCCAAAATTTCTCCCATTCATAATCCCAATTCTCCCTCTTCACCAATCATAAACGAGAGCCCTAATCCCCTGTTATCTTTCACTCTTTTTCTCTCTCCGCGATTCATCTCTCTTGAATCCAATCCATGGCACCTATGGGTCCCGGCTTCCGATTCCACCCCACCGACGAAGAGCTGGTGGTGTTCTACCTGAAGCGCAAGATCACCGGAAACCTGTCCCGGTACGACCACATCGCAGTGGTTGATGTCTACAAGCTCGAGCCCTGGGACCTTCCCCGTTAGCATTTTGCCCTTTTCTGTGGTATCGAATTGTTAGCAATAGGGTTTGGTTCCAAAGATTCAAAGTGTTTCTTAACTTATTTCGGTTTTTCAGCTCTGTCGAAGCTCAAGACCAAGGACTTGGAATGGTACTTCTTTAGCGTGCTGGACCGCAAGTATGGAAATGGCTCCAGGACCAACCGCGCCACCGAGAAGGGCTACTGGAAGACCACGGGAAAGGACCGCCCTGTGGCCCATGGCGACCGCACCGTGGGGATGAAGAAGACCCTCGTGTACCACATCGGTCGAGCCCCACATGGCCGTCGCACCAATTGGGTCATGCACGAGTACAAGATGCTCGATGAAGAATTGACTCGTGCTGGCACAGTGCTGGTATATCTCCTCTCTATTTCTTTTTTGTCTTTGATTTGCTGTTCTGTTGATACTTATTCTAGGTGAGACTTTTTTTTTTGGGAGAAGGATGTGTATGTGGTATGTAGGATTTTCGAGAAGAGTGGTGCTGGACCAAAGAATGGGGCCAAGTATGGTGCTCCCTTGGACGAGAAGGAGTGGGATGTGGATGAGGAGAATGAGCAGAAGGAGGTGGTTGCCTTACCTGCGACTGCTCATCGTGTGGTGGTTCCCTTGACGGAGATTCGTCCTAACGTGGTTGCTCCTCCTTTGCCCGCGACAGCTGCCGTGGCTCCTCCTGTGGTAGCAACTGGTGGTGACTTTTGCGATGGTATTGGGGTGGCTCTTCCTTCGGTAGCAACTGGTACTGATTTTTGGGATGATATTGGGGCCTTTTTGGAAACTAACGACCTTGACGGGGTATGTATTCATCGTGTTGTATTTGTGTCCCAAGTAATAGGGTTGATATGTGAGGAAATATTCTATATATGGCTTGGGATAATTTTTTGTTTTTCCTTTAAATGGACGGATTAAAGGATTTTCTATTTGCAGGTTGGATGAGTTCTGGTTGCATGGATTAATGTTTGTGTTACTGTTTTATGTTTGGATATATTTTTCCTTGTCGGCTGTGGTGTCTTTTTTGTAATTATTTTCTTCTCGGACTGTGTGCAGGTGTTTAATATATCAATATTGTTGTGGGACCTTTATTTGGGTTGCTCTAATGTTGTTTGTGTTGTCCTTTACGTAATCTCGATTGGAAGAAGTCTTCTTGGTTTCAGTCCTTTTGAAGTTGGTATGTAGTATATATCGTTGGGCACAGTTTTGATTTCCCCCTAGAGGATGCTGAAAACATTTTAGGAAAACGTTGAGTGTGAAGTTTAGTATGATTTTGGTGCACACAGATTCATGTAGTTGTCATTCACTAGTATGTAGTCCCGTCACTGGTTTTGTCAATATTATGGCTTTTCTATAGAATTTGTTTGGTTATTTATTCGTAAAACATGTCTGCGGCTCTTAGTGTTTTTTTAAGTTGGTTGGGTTGTTTTCTCTGAATGACTTGGTATTCTCTAACTAAATAATGTCTTCAATATGCAGGAACTTGATTTGAGTGATATGATTGGGGGTGTTACTTTTCCATCACTAAACTTTCATCACGGGGAGTGTAGTACCTACGCTGAAAATTCCCAAGAACTCATCAAGGATCAGGAGCCATTGGCGGGCACCTTTGGAATTTCTGGGCCTGAAAATGGCCAGACTCTTGATATGCCTGAGCAACATGATATGGGCACAGGTTCAGTGAAAGATGAAGACAAGGGTGAGCAGAGCGAAATTGTGAATCTTCTCAATTTCAATGATGCATCGGATAATATGGATCTGGATCTATATTTTGATGCCGCCCAGAATCTTCCAACGGCTGATGATGAATCATTCTTGGAAACCAATGATCTTGCAATTGGGAATGAGGATGATCTCATTGAGGCTGATCCTTCTGCGAATGATATTATGCTAGACAAGTATCTTCCACTCCCTGACGATGACGATGATGATATTTGGAAATATATATCGTTCGATTATTCTCAGGTTGCAGAGAGTGAAAACTCTAATTCCAACCAAGGATCACCTTTAACCCAGCAGGTTATGACCGACTCTATCTTTATAGTCATTTGCCTTGTAGGTATTATAGCTGTATATTGAACAATTTTGGGTCATTGGCAGACTGTAGGGGGAGAAACAGCAAATAAAGCTGTGGTTGGTAAGCATGATTCTGAAGCACAAACTAGCAATGGGGCTTTTTTGGTGCAGAATACAGAGGAGGCAAAGTTAGCAGCACCAGGTAAAACTGCTGTTCACCTTACATCCTAGTTCGTCAAGGTTTTCTTTTGATGTGTACTCCCGTGCTCATTATAGCTTGTAAAGTATGATATCCACTCAAAATGTTATATTCTCAATATATTTTTCATTAACTTAAGGATTTTTTTTTTTTTTTGTGGCAGGAAATACAAATCCATTTGTTAAGCAGGCCTATGGATGGTTAGCTAACATCCCTGCTTCACCTGCACATGCTTTTGAGTTTCCAGCAAAGGACATTACTCTTGGGATTGATGGTGCAGCTCAGCCTTCCCATCCAGCTCATATAACTACAGGTATGATCAGCATAACAGACATTACTTTTAGAGGCAATGCGATGGATTGGCCTATGGGCAAAATTGGAGGATTTAACACTGCAATGTCTACTGAGTTTTCTCAACCGGACGTTAATTGTGCTGCCTTGATACCTGTTTCTGGCAAGACCGCATTTGTATTGTCACATGGCTGGATATTTTTGACGGGTTTCTCAGTTCTTATTCTTTCACTTAGTTTCAAGATTGGAAGCATCATGTATACTGGTAAGTAACTACAAAAAAGGTTGGACACTCCAGAATAAGCTGCAGTCATCAAGTATGATGTAGTGTTTTATGGTACTCACTGAATGACTAGGATCTCGTGACTTTGTAGATTTGTTTATGGACCTTATAGTCGAACTGATCTATGCATTCTTCGTGGTAACTTATTCTCAGAGTTCCATCAGATAGAGTAATACCGTCTTCATTCATACGATTCCTTAGATATATTATTGTTACATACTTTTTCCATAGTGTAATAGATGCAAAGTTTTCTGACTGGTAGAGGCGGTCCATTATTTAGTTAGATGAACATGTAATTTCATTCACGTATTGTATAGTCCGGAGTGGATCCTCTAGTTACAGTTTATGTTCAACCTGTATTTATACATCTCTTTTCTGTTAGACATTAAATGCGTGTGGGTTTATTTCATGTTCATCATGGGAGCGACAGATGTAAATTTTACATCATTTTCTCATGTTAAAATGTAACATGGGATGATTACTTCACGTTTTATATTTACGGAAACGGTGATGAGTTTTTTCATGATTAATTTTGACACCACGATTTTGCAAGAAATTTGGACTCGATTTGAGGTTTAATTTGGTAGATAAACACCAAGTTTCAATAATTTATGACCATAATAAATTAATGAATTTACTGTGTATTTTCATACAATCCGTTGGAACAAAATATTAGGGAAGGAGGTTGCAATAATTCACAAAGGATCAAACTTCTTAATTGTTATTAGTATGAGTGAATCCGTTCATATTTGAAGAGTGAATCCATCTATACATTTAATTTAGTGTTTAATATTTCTTTAGGATCCGTTTGAATGTTGTGTTTAAACCCTTACAATGATTTAATTAATACTATTATTGTTGCTGTTGGTTGAGTCTTGAATTACATATATATATATATATATATATATATATCAACGCACTCGCACACACAAAACAAATTAATTTTAGGCAGTTTGCTATCATATTGAAGGTAGGAGAATTTGTTTGCGAGATTGAATATTTCCTAAATTGAAAATTGAAGGATTTTCTATTATTAAATTTCGTTTCCAATAGGGAGTAATCTTATTTTGTTTGTCGGGTGAAATATGATGTATAAGCAGTGGGTTTAAGTGGACATTTTATTATTTATTTATATTCAATTTTGGAAATGTAGATCAAAATTAGAGGTTTGATTAAAATAATAAATTGTATTAATGCAAGAGTTTAAGGTACGTTCTTTTATAAGGATTGGATTGATTTGAACCACCCTTCCTACTATGGTTCTTCACCATCAAGCATTAAAATAGATTCTGTAGTGGTTCCTACATACTCATCTATCATTCTGGAACTCACCTCAAATGGGTATAAGCCAAAATACTCCACACTACTCATAGTCTTCATTTTAACATGATATTAAAATAAAGATATTTTTCTAAAAATGACATCTATCATTCATAAATCTCTTCACATGAAAGAGTAATCTCGCTAATCCATTCTCGCTATCGCCTCTAAATCCATACAAACGACCATAATAAATTTATACCAAAGAACATAGTCTACAAGGAACATGGTATCAATTTTTAATTTACGACAACTTTCTCATGAGTTTATTTTTTTAAAAAAATTTATGCGTTTGCTTTAAAAGAAGTTACATGATAAAGTTTTTAATATAATTAATATGAATAATGAAAATTTGAAATAGATTCTCATATCTTTTAATTGATCTCAATTAAATTTTTATTTTTGAAAATATAATATAATTTAGTTTTCTCCGTTTTAATTTATGAGTTAGTTTATAGTTTTTAATTTTTTTAGTTTTTTCAATTAAAAAATAATAATTGACATGTGCTAAGTAGGGATGACAAAAAAATCCACAGGTATGAATATTCACGTATAAAATCCGCAACGAGCAGACCGCTTCTAAACCGGTCGGAGGTAGGTAATAAACTATCCACCCACAGGTATCCACTACTTGCAAAAATTAATAAAAAATATTAATTTTTATTTTTTAGAGTAAGTTTAATTAAAAATAAAATTAATTTTTATTTTATTAAGTTAAATTTAATTTTAATTTATATTTAATTTAATTTATATTTAATTAGGTTAAATTTAATTTTAATTTATATTATATATATATATATATATATATATATATATATATATATATATATTTTTTTTTTTAATTTTATTTAGAAAATGTATAAAATATATTTTTTTAAATTTTTTGTGAGTATCCGTGATACTCGTAGGTTTTAAAATACTTGCGGGTATTTTTTAAGCGGGTAGCCGTGTAGGTAATGGATGGATTGCGGGTCGAATTTTATTTTACAGATCAAGTTGCAGGTAGATATTATTCGTGTCTACCCGACCTATTGTTATCCGTAATGTTAAGTGAGGATCATATCACGTGATATAGTATTTGTTGTAACAAATGTTATATAAAAAATCTTAATTTATTTTTATATTTATTATTTTGATTTTTAATATTTCTTTTTAAAATGAAACAATTGCATTCTTTTCTCCAAATTGAAACGATTTTTTTTATACATTTTATATTACTACTTTTATTAAAATTGATATTTTTATTAAATATTTTTAACAATATTATATTTATTTAAATTTATATTTTACATTAAATTTTATTTAAATTTTGTTTTAAAATTTTAAACGTATTTTTGTTGATATTTTTTTATTTTAATTTATATTTAAAATAATTTTATTTAAATTTATATAGTTTATAAATTTATATTTCAAATATTTATATAACATTATATATCAGTAATTTATATACGAATGTTAGAATTATTTTGAAAACAACAATTTTATAAATTCAACTGTAAAATTTTAAAATAATCTTATAACAATTTAAATAAATATATTTAAAACTTTAAAACAAAATTTACTATAAAATATAAATTTAAACAAGCTTAACAATATTAATAAAAATATTAACTTTAATAAAAATATTGTTATAATTGAAATATTTTACATAACTCAATAACAACACCTAACACTATCACTATGATTATCACTATGACGTCATAACAAGACTCTCACTTAATTTAAAAAAATAAAAGAAATTGAAAAAATAATTAAAATTAAAAAAAAAATCACAAATTAACACATGTTAAATGATTGGTTCAATACTAACTAAAATACATTATATTTTAAAAAGTAAGAATCCAATTAAAAAAAATCAAAATATGAAAATTTACTTAATATTTTTAAACAAATATGTTAATCAACAAAGTATTTTAACCTATCTAAAAATATAACATTTTTTAAATAACTATAAAATTCATATACATTTATAGTCTTCATATTTAAGAAGAACGATGTGATTAAATCTTTTAACAAGGACTAAAAATAGATAGTATATTTGTAGAAAGTAAAATAAAAAAAACATTATATTTTAATTAAATAAAATTATACTTAAATATTGAATTTAATTAGAAGGTACTCAACTTCAATCATAGATTAATAAACATAGTGAACTTTTTTTCTTAATAATTACTTTAAAAGTCACACTTAAGGAATTATATTATCAGCGCATGGAAATTCAATTCTTAAACTTTTTCTATTATTATTTACATTTTTTTTAAAATGAAATATGGAATGTTTGTATGAAACACAAAAAATTCAGCATGCTCAAAATAGGTTGAAATTACCTTTGTTGTTTAAAAATCAAATGAATGTTTCCAAACTCTTCTTATTGATATTACTTATTCATTTCTTACATTCATATCCCATACTTCTACATCAATTATTGTGATTTTATTCCAACAAGAGAATGCTAACCCATGTCCTAAGCCACTTGTTAAGGAATCAAAATGGACTCTTTTTAGAGATAAATATAAAACTTACCAATTTATCCCATCATGATTCACAATAAAAACATTGTATTTATTGATTCCCTAACTAGTACCTTATAAGACACAAATTTCAGTATCTGCTTTGGCATTAAGGAGGAAGGCTTGTTACATTTCTCCTGGGAGCATGGTATCACCAGGTAGATCACAAACAGCAATTCCCTAAGATGACAGAGTTTATAAGTTTCACATGAATATAAGCATAAATAACTAATAATATTAAGATATGATGTTTACCTCGCCCGTTAGGTGAGCCACACATCTCTTCTCAGCCAACAACTCAGCTTCAGTCTGCAAAATATTAAGAATTTAAGTTTGAGTCTGAATCTTACGTTAAGTAGAAATGAGATATATAATAAGAAAGAAGACTTATAAACTCATAGTATCAAATTTGTTATACAGATTTGCTCATGACTTATCAATACCGAACCTCTTTAGTATATATCTCTTTAAAAGACCTAACAATGATATCATAACCAATGGTTTACCTAATATCATTAAATTTTGATAACATGTCTAATTTTAAAATGGTAACTAATTTCACCCTCAAACATGAGCTCCCTGATAGCTTGCAATTAATTAAAAAATCTAGCATGTGTTCAATCCATATTTTCACTGCATTTTTTTAGCTTTTATGAGAAGTTTATATCATTTAAAGAACTTAATTTCTTATTTTATCTCAACATTCTAATAAATATGGCTAAGGCACACATGAATAAAAGATAATCTGTATATATATATACATACATACATATATATATATATATATATATATATATATAATGTATGAATTTCCATCCTTACCTTTTTTATCCGCTGCCGGAGGTAGTCATCAAATATGACATCCTTCACAAGTTCGTAATCACCATCGCCCTAATGGATAAAAGCTTTCATCATAGGAGGAACAAAGCAAGTTTCAGAAGTTAAAAAGAATGAAAAGAATGCAGTAAACAAGCTTACCTTTGATCGACATGGCATACTGAAAACAATACCCTCAGCTATTCCATAAGGATTTCCATTGCTATATACCTGGCATTACAATTGCAAAATTTGAGATTGAAATACTAACTAAGAATAAAAAGAGAACAAATGATTAATGAAGGTTGTGGCATGTTTAAATTTGTAAGAAAAGAATTGGTTTTTGGCCCTT